TAGTTTTTGGCAGAAAAAAAAAGTTTTTGCCAGAATAAATGTATGTATTTTAGTATTATTTGATTTTCTAAATATTTTTAATTTTTAAAACTTGTTATAAAAATAATTAATAGTAACATGCATCAGTTTCTTTCTTCTCTAAAGCACTGTTCAGCTATTCTCTGGAAAGTTTATTTCATATTAGAATTTTTGAAATTGTTAAGATGATAAACTACGATATTTTTTTCCTGAGATTAATAATGATAGGATTCAGGAAGTTGAATTCATTATTAAATTCTGCCAATTTCCTTTACCTTTCATTAATATTTATCATATGGTAAATTAAGTACTAGCCTCCCTTCACTCAATTGTGGCCTGGTGGCTCAGTTGGTTGGAGAATTGTACTACACACCAAAAGGTTGTGGGTTCAATCCCCGGTCTGGGCACATACAGGAGGCAATCAATCGATGTTTCTCTCTCACATTAGTTTCTCTCTCTCTCTAAAAAAAAATCAATAAAAACGTACCGTTGGGTGAGGGTTAAAAAAAATAAGTCACCCCCACACACCTTTGATCTTTGGTACTCTCTTTTGTACCACAATCTACAATCCCTGTGATGCTTTAAAAATACATCTATCTTCCTTTCAAGGGGTGGAACTTATTTCCTTGCCTCTGGAGCATTTAGTGACTTATTTCTAATGAACAGAATAAAGTGGAAGGGAAGGTTATGTGATTTTTAGAGACTAGATCATAGAAATACTGTGGCTTTTTCCTTGTTCTCTCTCTCTTCGATCTCTTACTTTCTTACTTAGAGGAAGTTACCTGCCAGGTTGTGAATAGAGATCCACATGCGAGGTCTCCTAACAACAATCATGTGAGTGAGCCACTTGGAAGTAGATCCTCCAACCACAGTCAAGCCTTCAGATAGCTAAAGCCTTTGCCCACATCCTGACTTCGATCACATGAGATCTGGAATCAAAACCACCCAGCTAAGTGTCCAAATTTCTGACCCATAGAAACTGAGATAGTAAGTACTTGTTGTTTTAAGCTGTTAACTTAGGGGTAAATCTAGGGTACTTTTTATAACATATGATATGATTTGTAATACAATGTCCCCTTTCAAAATCAGATCTTATCAAGAAAGACTGTGCAAACTGCCATGGTATACAAGAGTTGAAAGGTTTTCCATTAAACTTAATACTTCTCTAATGTCTCTAAACTGCAAGCACCCAATGATAAAGTCTCTGTTGTCTTGATTTTATATCCTCTTAGGAGTTAAAGGATTCTTATGCGTTGTTTGCATAGGATTAGCATGAACAGAAAGTGAACTATAAATTTTGTGCTTTCAAATAAAATTTTCTTTTAAAGTGCCCCTTTCTCCCTCAGCATATCCCTCTTTCCCCTCGTCTCATTTTCCAAGGTGGCAATGGTTGCCATTTGCCATAATGTCCATGGGTCTTTTCCCTCTCAAATATTCTAACCAAATCCTAAACAAAATAGTCTGAAGAAAACAAATCCTCAAACCACCCACCAAACAGGCGGAGGAAAGGACTGTGGGTGGTTAGTAGGAGCTTCCTTCTGTTACTAGCTCAATGACTATATAGCTAGCTCTCAATATTCAATAAATCCAACTTATTCATTCATTTAGAATGTATTTCCTCTTCTCTTTTAATCCCTTATATATCTAGTGTGCATTAGCACTTTGGTTCTAGATATATAAAGGAAGATGAGAAAGTTAAAATGTAAGACAGTTGGTTTTTATTTTTACTAAATGGTTATAGTATAAGATTGAGTAGATGAGATACTGAAGGTATTAAATATGTGGTGTCACATAAATCTTTCCCCTTTTAGTAATGACAATTAAGAGAACTCACTAAATTTAGATTTATTTTTTACCTGAAGCTTTATATTGTTTCCTTTTATTGTCTGTTCACAAATAAAGTTTCAATTGATGCAATATCAGTAATTCTTTGGAAATAAGCTATCTCTGACATGATTTCTGTTACTTACGGTTAATTCCAGCATTAGTATGCAAATATATACACTGAGTGGCCAGATTATTATGACCACCCCATCAGTACTTCGCTGGGCCACCTTTTGCCTTCAATATTGCGGCGATTCTTCTTGGCATTGACTCCACGAGATGTTGAAAGGTGATGTGAGGAATCTGACACCATGCCTGATGAATAGCACTGTCCAGTTCTGTGAGATTTGATGGTTG